TTTCAAACACACAAAAGCTTCATATAAATTGATATCTTTCATGTTAAAGATTAGGTACCTTCCCAGAGCGAAATGATTCCAAAGTTTCCTTTTGCAACTTTGGTGCAACTGCACCAACTGATTTGTTACTTCCGGTCAAATATGAAACCGTGAAATGAGATAAGCATGGTACTTTCTTAACATATCTTTCAATTACATTAGCTGTAATAATTCTCTCTACAAAGATGAGGCATGGAACTTGGCTACCGCTTCTGCAATGGCAAAGCAGGCTGATCAATTGACTTTATAAGAAAATTAAAAGGACTTTACCAGTGAAGTAGTTCTATTTACCCAAATGATTGGAAAATTTGTAAAAGTTCATGTAGCTTGGGAGATATGTAGCCCAAATCGTGTGCCTTTATATAGTCAAACTCAAAATCTGTACAAATGCTATTGCCTGAGCAGTGTGAAGGAAGTACATCAGTAAAGAAATATTATAATTTATATCATAAGAAGAACTAAATATCAATCCAAAATTAGGATACAAACTCACCGAGCTGCATACTAGGTTGAAGAAATCCTTCAATTATATGTAAGACTTCATCAAGAAAATATTTCAACTTCAAAGAAATTCCTCTATAAAATTGGGACTCTTCTTCGACATCAAAGGCATTCTCTAGACAGACTTTAACAGCCTACAAAAAAGGTATTATCATGTAATAGTACGAAATCAGAACACAAAAATGAAGATCTGAAAAAAAAAATTGAAAATAGGAAGCACCACTAGTGACTGGTCCTTGAGTTATAATTATAGGAAGCTCCACTAGTGACTTGTCTTTGAGTTAAGTACATGATTATTGGAAGCTCCATCAGTGACATATCTTTCTAGAGAAACCTTTCTTAGAATTGCTTATATGGTTTGAATCCACTCAGAACATTAAGAAAACCCAGGAACGAACAGAGCTTCAGTTTTAAACCTTACTCAAATAGTGGCTGTTAAAGTCTGTCTAGAGAATGCCTCCGACGTCGAAGAAGAGCCGTTCTCTTCTACTGTAAAATTGAGACTCTTATTCGACATTGGAGGCATTCTTTAGACAGACTTAAGTTTAAGCAAGGTAAGAACATCATGATGTGAGTAAAGTTTAAAACTGAAGCTCTGTTCGTTCATGGTTTTCTTAATGTTCTGAGTGGATTCAAACCATATAAGTAATTCTAAGAAAGGGTTTTCTACCAAGGGAAAAAATCTTAAACGAGAGAAAGAAAAAAAAAAAAGAAAAGGAACACACCAAACAGATCACATTCCTCCTTTTATTTTTCTTTATTTTTTTGCTTTTCAGTTTGTACTTAGCTAGAGAACAACCATACCTCATATGCACATATGAGGCCAAGGTCATTAAGGCAATATAAAATCTTCATGTAGTCATTGGACATCCGCTTTCTCAGCATCTTTATTTTATCATCAATGTCCTGGTAGTACTGGTACTGACTTGGCACTTCCCTATGCAACTCTAACATAGAAGCATACTGTCCATGCAGTTAAATACCTCTTAGTATTCCCATAAGTACATAAGTGAAAGCTAAGACTGAATAACATTTTTTTTATAGCAAAAACATATACTGTTATATCCTTTGGCATGAAATATTTGATATGATGCAGGACTACCTTAGACCACAAAGCTTCCATCTCGCCTTTCAGACCCAAATTCATGAGTAACCATGTTTTCTCATAAAATCTACAAGTTTGGACCGTTGAGGGAATATATGCTTCAATTTCTGCCCTGTCTTCTATAGCATAAACCTTTACCAGCACATATCAAGATACATAGACATTTAGAGGCTAATTTTCATAATAAGTAGGGAATAATCATGACATGAAAACTCAAAATACCTGAGAATCCAAGATGCTTTCTAGTGCTGATATTTGATTCTCACAGTCCATGGTGGATGAGACACCTGATATGCAGAGAGGGTTGTCTTCATAATTTTGCATAGCATATTGTAAAATAGCACTAGCTTGATAATGAACATGCAGCAAATTGTAATAATGTATAAGATTGTAGAGAGAATAAGAAAAAATCTCCTCCCCTCATTATGGGATGATTTTTGGTGATAATAAGTGAGAATCTTTGAGTGAGGTTCAAGATTTCTCAAATTGTGGTGAATGCAGTGTTTTGTATTAACCACATTGAAGCCATGCAAAGAATTGAGTTCACCTTTCTGTGCCAACAAAACATCAGATAATCGTATGCAGAAACACAAATATCTTACCTTTTCTTATAACAGGGGATGCTGTCATTCCAAAAATCTTTGGCCTGTTGCCGGATGTATGATAAAATTCCTTCTCCAAAAGAACATTCTAATCATTTAAGTGTATTCACATTATTTGAATGAAACAAAATTAAAAGTGGGAGTCGTTTAGCAACTACCTTCATTATTTTTGTATAGGGATGATTGCCAGTAGCCCGATGGCATTCGTCAAAGATCAATAAGCAAAACATTTCTAAGCTCAAAAATGCATTCCTCAAGGCATCCAAGAGAATTTGTGGTGTCATCACCAGTATCTACCATATGTACTTGAAAAACTGATTAAGCATCACTTGGATAATACTGAATAAATTTTTAATCTAACTAAAAAAGAATATCAAAATACTGACATAAAATGCACAAACAAAGAATAGTCTAAGAAATGGTAACAGATGAAACTAACATTGAGATCCATAACAATTCCATGCTACACTGAAATGGAGAGTTTTCTTGTCCTTTATGTTATTTCTTTTTTAAAAAAACACCCAAAACTTTATTTCATTATTTGAGTTATAGAGGAAGAGAAACCTACATCATGTGTTTGAACTTCCATTTCCCAACAGCTCCTACTCCATTCATCAACTCCCTTGTCTCCATAGTACTCTCCCACTTCAAGAGTTGTAGAATCTTTGACAACATTGAATTGCTGTTAACAAAAAGGCACTAATTCAGCATTTCAATGATAAAAGGCCCCTAAACACTTATACATAGAATATTGCAACAGTAGAAGTGATAATTGCCTGAGTGACGAGATTAACGGTTGGAGCCAAGAAAATTATCAGCTTTCTTTTGCCATTGGACTTGATCATATCTTCAGAAATGTGTTTGATTAGCATCACAGCTATCATGGTCTTCCCAGCACCGGTTTCCAACACCGCAATCGTGTTCTTTCGCTTTGCAACTTCAAACACTTTCACTTGGTAGCTGTACAGAGACACACACACATACAAAAAACTTTCAAAGTTTCTACCTTTGAAAAAACAAACATGTTAACAAAAGGTAAAAGGAGAAGAGGGAAACCTTCTGGGGATGAAATGGTTGGGATTTGGAGGAGATTGAGTTTTCTCAGGTGAATGATCAAGAGCACTGAGGCCCATTTCAGGATGAGAGTGCTCCATGTTAGGGAAGCTTGAAGCTTTGAAGAATGTATAGTTTGAGTTTTTGTGTAGCAAAGTAAAAATGATTCCCTCTTTTTTTTTGGGCGAAATTTTAAACGAAAAACTGGTTCCCTTGCATTGCCATCAATAACCCATGATTCTCCATATGTTCTGTATCTTCCTGTCCCAACTTTATCTGATATCTTTGACTCTGTCTCTGTCAACATAGTAATTACATGAAAGGAAGAACAAAAGCTTGTACTTTTCTTATGTCCAAAACAAGCAACAGAAGCATTTTTAAATGCAAAAAACGTGTGTGGTCCCCCTCCCCCCATCACCCAAAAAAGGAAACCAAAATGCGTGAATTGGGATTATTTATCTGTTGGGGATAAAAGGCCATGTATTCTTTTTAAAGAAACAGACGGAAGAAATTTCTTCATAATTTTTTTCTCAGTCGCAATTTATTCATATTTTCTATAATGAAAAAATTATTTTATTGCGTTACAATGTGTTGAAAAAGGATCACTTCAATGTGGACGAAAGATGATCACTTTTCATATGTTCCTTTGGTTTCATGTTTCTTAAGATATATCTATCCTTTGTACCCTTTTCTAATCTACCTAATGGAAATTTTCTAATATGCCATTTGCTCTCTTTCCACCAGAAACTAAGCATGAAATAACAATAAAATGGTCTCTCTTTTTACCAATTAGAATGCGGAAATTTGAATTCGAAAGTTCTTTTTTAAATGTAGTCTCTTTTCTCTTCGTTGTGCTGTACGCAACATAAGTAAATGTAACATCTTACAAACTACATTTAAAAAATCAGTAATGTGGCAAATACAAAATTAATACAATAACATAAGACAATTTAAAACAAAAACAATAAATTATAATTTAAAATTAAAATCTCAATATGGGGCCCCACATAGAACTTGAATCATATTATATATCCAATCAAATTCAATCATTTGACCTTGGAAAAAAAAAATTCAATCATTTGACGTTGCACTTGATTAACTTCGGGTTCGAATTGCGGGTCTTTCCGTACAAATAAAGCCCAAATAGTCTTTTTAAAATGTCAAATACGGGTTCGGATCCATTGACTTAAACTTAAAAGGCCCCCACCCAAAATCAACCCTCTCTCAACCATAACCACCACCGTCACCGCCACCACCACCTCCACAAAACTCAACACAAAAACCCCCAATTCCCATCAAACCCTAACCCTAAAATTCCAAATCCCTAATCCTAGACATCAGAACAATGTCCACACCACCCCCGCCCTCGCCCACGGCCTCAGCCTCGGCCTCGGTCCCTGCCTCGCCAGTCTCCACCAAGAAGGCCCAGCCTCTGCCATGGACGCACGAAGAGACGGTGCAGATGATCCGGGCCTACCAGGAAAAGTGGTACAAGCTGAGAAGAGGTCCGCTCAAGTCGAGTCAATGGGAGGAGGTGGCGGTGACGGTGGCAGCTCGATGCGGCTACGAGCACGCCGAGCAGTCCAAGACCGCCACTCACTGCCGGCACAAGATGGAGGAGCTCCGGCAACGGCACAGTACCATTGAGGGGGGGGGTGGCGTGGCCGGGGGCGGCTCGAGGCGGCTCCGACCCCGCCGAGCAGCCCAAGCCCGCCACTCAGTGCCGTCACAAGATGGAGAAGCTCCGGCAACGGCACCGTACACTGAAGAAGCGCCTCCGGCCCGGGTCGAGGTCGCGTTGGCCCTTCTTCGATCTCATGGAGAGCTTGGAGCGCGGTCCCATGCCCATCTCCTCCAGACCCATGGCTGTGATGCCATGTCAGCCAGAAGAAGAAGAAGAGCAGCGTCATGATCGTCATGGCGTTGATGTTGATGGTGAGGATGATGATGAGGAGAATTCCAGTAAGGTGCGGAGTATTGATTACATACTACGGAGGCCCACGATTGTGAATAGGTTTTCTGGAGGACAAGCCTCGTTTTGGCAGGACACAGCGGCGATGGCAGCGGCAGCCAAGAGATCGAGAGACGCAGTGGACGGTGGCGGTGGCTACAATGGCTATGTGGTGGAGCCGCCCCAGATGGGAGGAGAGATGGCTTTGGAATTAGCAGACGAAATTAGGGCTTTTGCGAAAAGGTTCATTGGGGTTGAGAACACGAGGATGGAGATCATGAAGGAAACAGAGAGGTGTAGATTGGAGATGGAGAAGAGGAGGATTGATATGATTCTGCAATCCCAGCAAAAGATTGTTGACTCCATTGACAAGGCCTTTGGCTCTTCTACCAACAAGTTGAGTAGCTAATCTTGATGATTTGTTGCTCATTATCAAGTTAATCTGTTTCGAAGGTTCAATCTTTATTTTTTGTTGTAAAATTATGATCTTTTAGCTGTGTTGTTGTTCCATTGGATTTGTATAGTTGACAGTTGAAACCCAGAATTTGTAGAATGGTTCTGGGTCTAATTTGTTGAGGGATTCAATCCCATTTATGTGCAATTGTTATTATTCTAGTTCTAGTGGTAGTTTTCCTAGCATAGCAAATAAATTTTCATGCTTTGATCAGAAACCTTGGGAATGAGTAGCTTCAAATTCAGCCTTAAGTATAATTTTCTAGTTGTTATGCTTAATTTTGCTATAAGTAGCTTCTGGTTTGCTTGTGTTCTTGGTTGCTTGACCAATCTAACTATTTGCCTGTCTTCTTACTATTTGCCCTTCTCAACTATCATAATATGCTTGCTTGTTAAAGATCCCTGCCCAAAGAGTTGATGTGATGCAATCTTTTAGCCCAAGAACTTGGACATTGGTCAAACCAGAGAAGCACTTGCTTGGTTATTTTTGGCACATTGATTGGCCACGGCTCTCACAATGCATGTGAATCTGTCTCCTTGAAGGTTTGTTAAAATTTCATCTTGCTTCTTTTAGGCATATCCCTCCCTCTCCGCTGCGGGACCCGGACCCGGACCCGGACCCGGACCTAGGGCTCCTTGAATTCTAAGTAAACTATGTTTATGAAGTGCAAGCACATATCAGAGACTTGTGCTGTTTACATTCCGGCCTTCTTACAATTGATATTTGAAACAGTGACTACCCTATGGGCTGTGTCCAAGAAAATGATGGTGAAAGATTGTACTTTTTAATTTTTCAAAACTACATATTTCCATTTTCTACCAAAAAGGCTTGGCTGATAAGAGAAATTTTAACTTAGAATTTGGGCCCCAAAGCTCCTCTTTTGTTTATTATCTTTAAATGCTACCAAACAAATAGCAGGCTGGCTGTAAATGTTCTTGGTCAGTATGAGCAAAAGATACCCTCTTCAATGCCTCATGTGACGGACCATCAATGGCTCAAAAAATAAAGGAAAACATTATCTACTTACGAGTATTCTCTCAAACATATATACAAATCTCCAGGGAATGAGTCTTAACACGAACCGGCATCAACACTGAAAGTTTGTAACTTAAATCAAACATGAGATATAATGGCGCTCCCAAGTCCCGACTGTTTTTTTCTTTTTCAGGCGGAGTTTCCAGCACTAAGTTCAAAACAGAAAATAATTGGCATTGCAGATGCTTCCGCCTTTATAAAAACATCAGATATGGATGAGCTATCAAGACTCGTTGCATTATAAGACTGAGAACCGTTACAAGTTACAGTAATTCCAGGTAGCACATGGCAGTCACAGATGATTGATATTTTCTAATCCCATTGACCAATGTATTACATCAGACATCTAAATATTCACAAGATTTGCAAAAGGCTTTTGCCCATAAAAATGATTGCAACCCCCTTAATCTGAAAGGGTACTAATACATGCGCTAATCTACTGGGGCAAAAAGAAATAGGGTCACCCTCCACAAATTTGCAGGGAGACCAAGGAAAATAAACCAAAAAAAAATAAGGGAAAAAAATTAAAAGAAACAGGTACTAGGAAAAGGAAAGATAAGAGACCTCTGTACACGTACCTCTATATCAGTCTCTATCTTCCCAGAGCTCTAGACCAGTGGTAATTTACAAGATTTTTCCAAAAACAAAAGGAAAATGCCTTTGCAACATCACTTCACTAGTTCAGCTAAATTTTTAACAAAACCTGCAAATACCATGACCAGCTCTTCCTGTTGATGCCCTCTTATGGAATAATCAGCTTCATCTGCACCAAACCCCAAACCTAGAATCAGATACCTTTTAGATTGAAATACATCACTCCTTTAAATCCCATAAATATATATATATTAGACAACCCAAAAATTGTTTGCACAAAACACAAAATATGAAATGGCAGTTTAGCACCCATGCAATAATACTCTGCAACAGTGAATTCAAAGTCGAATCTTACTATGAAGAAAGACAATGAGAAAACAACCAAAAAAGGGGTACAAAAGCTTTTAAGAATTGATTTGAAAAGGGGAAAAGCAATCAATTTCTTCTTTCATGAATATGAGGCTAATAATATGGATATACAATATGAAATTAAATAGTAACTACCTGTACACCACTGTACCAAGGGTATGCGGATCCAACCCTGGCAGGACCAGTTGCTGCAGCTGCTCAATTCCTTAGAATCATTCATTCTGGTTTTGAATTACCAGTCATCATATACAAACTTCCTTGCCCTGCTTGCAGATGCTGCATTTGCTGTTGAGACTGCTGTTGCAGAGGCAATTGATGTTGGGGTGACTGTTGTTCCTGCTGCTGCTGTTCTTGTTGCTGATGATGCTGTTGGGATGGGGATGGCAGCGAAGGAGACTGTTGCAGTAGCTGCTGCTGCTGTTGCTGCCACTGTGCTCCAACATTATGCCCGTGAGAGGGCAAGCTACCAGATAACTGTCTAGGGCCTAACCCTTGACTGATAGGTGGCACAGGCTCATTCCCAGATGAATTTGTTAGTTGTGGGCTCCCAATCGGACCCACTTGAGTGGTTGAATTTGACATGTTAGAATCATACACTGGTTCTGATGATTTCCACTGAGAAGTAATGGCAGAAGGAACTGGTACTACATTAGATGAATCAATACTGGACTGAGGAATTGCCATGCTCACACCCACCTGTGAAGTGCCATTGCCAGGTTGCTCATCAACCTGAGCTAGATCATTTTGAGACTTGTTTGGAATCTCTAAATTTACTTGACGATTCTGCTGGAGCACTCTCTGAACATAAGGCTGAGTCTGATTAGCTTGCTTCTGTTGTTGTGCCTGTTGCTGCGACTGCAGCTGCTGCTGGTTGGAACCCTTAATTGATGGGGAGACAGCTTGATGTGAAGCTGATATTGTATTACCAGAGGGAACTGGTGGAACCTGGCCTTGAGTGCTGTTATCAGAATGAGAAGGCATTTGCTGGAGTTGCTTTGATGAAGGAGGTGGGCTAGAAAGTAACTTTTGCGGCAACTGAGAATGGTTTGGTGATTGGGGGACCAATGGCTTCGATGTTACTGGATTCAAGCCAGACCCGGAATATGCACCTTGACCTTGCATCAACTGCATGATCTGTTCTCCTTTCTCAAGGGCTTGGCTTCCTGGAGGCATTGGAAGCCCATTCAGATGAGAAGGATCAATGGAGAGGTTCGCAGGATCAATGGAGAGGTTCTGATGCAACATTGAATTCCCCCTTCCCATTCCCTTTGAAAGTTTAGCCTGCTGCTGAGACTGGGCAAGTTGCCGCTGTTGAGGGTGGTGCCTACCAGATTGTTGAAGATGGTGCTGCTGGGGTTGTCTTTGTCGTTGCTTCCCCATCTGATTGGTCATCCCAACTGCACCAGGATTCCGGCTAAGCCCATGCAGCGGCAGGTGAAGTTTCTGCTGGTGCTGGGATGATATGGGAGTCATCGGGGAAGATGGTGTCATAGGGGGCAGAGATACTGGGTGAGGTGAAGTTTGCGACTGAATTTGGGAATTATTTTGCAAAGTTGATGAAATGGGAAGTTGGGGCTGTGTCTGGACATGTGGCGCCAAGGAATTAGATGCAGCAAACTGCTGCTGATGTTGCTGCTGCTGCTGCTGCTGTTGTTGCAAATACCGTTGTTGCTGCAGCTGCCTCTCTTTCGCAATACGGATGGCATAGGCTTGCTGCTGCTGCCCCGCACCATGATTGGGGCCTTGAAGATGAGAGTGATGAGGACTACTGAGTGCATGAGACTGTTGTTGGGATACTTGATGTTGCTGCTGGGCATGACCTGGATATGTTTGAACAGATGGTGGAGTTGTCTGATTAGGAAAACCAGAACTCAACCCATTGAATGGAGCAATACCTTGGCCATTCCCTTGTGTAACCTGCATCTGAAGCTCTGGAACCATAAGTTGTCTTTGATGCTCCGGATTATGCCCAGGCTATGACAGAAAAACTCAGTCAAACAAACATAAAGCCTTGGTAGAACAGGACAATTACAAGCGGAACACAGAAACTACTAAGGGGGAAAATGCAACAATAAAATCAAAAGCGTCCGCTGAGAATGGCAATCTAGAAAAAGCAGTGAAATGGAAAGAGATTATTTTAAAATCAAGAGGAACACTAAATAAAAGTAACAAAATCAATTTTAGTGTGGAAGCCCGCCAACACAAGCTTAGAGAGGGCGAGGGCTAAGATTTTAACTTTTAATCCATGAAACTTACTTATGTTCTAGTTGGGATCCACTACCCAGCAGGTCATTAAACATAAGTAAATCAAATGTACACATGCGACAATTTCAGACTTCAGGACGCATTTTGTTACAAACAAAAGACGAGGCAGAAAACCAACAAACTGAAAGTAACCAATATTGAACACCCAAAAGACAAACCTACCCCTTTCCTCCCCCTTTCTTCCTCCTCTTACCACCCCTAAAGTGGTGGGAATAAAAAAAATACAATCAGATAAAAGTAACAAACATGGTTGACATTATGCAATTTGGCATATGTGATCTTAGACTTCCTTCTTCAACTTCACTCCCAAAGTGGCAGGAAAAAATAGAACAAAATAATCAGATTTTAAAAATGAACATCTTGCAACTTCGGTACATTTTTATGTCAACCTGCAAAACTTTTATCCTAGAGGAGGAAGGCATCATAGGCTAAGAACCATTTGATATTATCTTTGCAATCTATAGCCAGTGCACATAGCAACACACTAAGTGTCAATAACTCACCCGCATCATGTGCAAAGCATCGCGAGGTCTTAACATCAAGTTTCCCTGACCAGAACCAGCTCCAGAGTGCATATTTACAGGGCTTGGTATCCCCACCATACTGGATGAAAGCATACTCCCAGAATTCAGCATAGATGAGGAAGCCATTCCCTGAAACCCTGGCCTTGACATCGGCATGCCTCTATTCATCCCACACATCATGCCCATTCCATTTGCACCAGGTACCATACGAACTCCACGATCAGTTCCCGCAAGAGCTCCAGGTACAGACAAGCTGGACTGCTGAATGTTTCTACCAGATAACATTTGATTGTAGTGTTGCACTCTTTGCTGCTCATCAACTGGTAAAGATGATGCTCTTGGACCACTGTATCTACCCTCCCTGTACCATGAATAATGAGAAACCATAGGAGCCATAAAAATAAAAAATAAAACAAAAGCACGTAAGATCAATCTCATAAACGAAAAATGTAAATCAAGGTCACAATAACAAACCCAACCCCAAACAGACACTACCTGACATTGGCACTAGGTGGGCCAGACGGTGAGGACAAGTTGCTGCCAAGAACCACACCAGAAGATCCCTGTAGTGAGGCATTTGCCCCAGAAGGAAGTAATGACCCTATAGCACTCTGATTTGACATTGCTAGACCACTAGCATGAGAACCTTGATACCCAAGAACATCTGAGCTTGATGAAGGGGCATCACATAGATCAAGGGGGCTTCACAGATAAAAACCCAAATACTTATATTAGTCACAAAAGAGAAATAAGCATACGAGCAAGAAAATGAAGAAAATACATGATAACATACTGACATGAACAAATAATCAACAATGACTTGATTAAATAGCAGAAAGTACTATCAAATCCGAGAACCAGAACTTACGTTAGAAGACCTCCATTCAGGTTATTTGGACAGACTTGGGAGAGGGCAATAACATGAGAATTGTGGACTGTTGTTATTTGTTTCGGATCCTGGTTATCGTTCTTCACAAATACACAATCACAAAGAATTATTGTTAGGATTCAGGAAGGAGTTCGAGTATACATATAGCAACATATAAGAGAAAACTCAGATCATTAACAGGAAATTGACAACACTAAACGATACTTTATTTCAAGTTTCAACTGAACCCAACTAAGCCTGTTACTCACAACTATTTTGAGTTGGGTCAAGAAATCTATTTTGTTCAAACTCAGATCATTAACAGGAAATTGACAACACTCTATCATCATATATTAGTTTAAGAAGCTACAATACTGCTCAATCTTACCAACCTAATCCTATGGATAAAAACAGTTAGTTCTACAGGATGACAATATCAAGAACTGCCAGGTCAGAGCACAGAAACTAAAAGGATTATCATCTCAAATGTAGCATGTCATCCAACCATAAAATCTTATATGGCAAAGACACCAAAAAAAAAAATCAATGCAATCATGCTGAAACAAATAGTGGAAGATTCCAACATTAATTACTGCAAAAAGATTTTGCCTTTTGTTGGAAGGTAGAATATTTCTGATCGTAAGGATGGGCAAGCTACAGAGACACTGATAGCAATATTGACCCAAAATCGAGCCACTGCAATAGGATCTGCACATATTCAACAAATCTATACTTAATTTTCACAAACCTGACTCCTCCGATAGTGATGCTTCTGACCAATCTTAATTATTTTCTCAAAATGAGATTTCAGAGTCTCCTCTTCCATTGGGGTTTTCAAGCGTTCAAATAATTGTCTGGCACTGCCCTGCATGACATGCAGAAACGCCAGCAAACAAAAGTAAGATTAAACTGATATATGTAGGTTTATCATGCTGAACATGAACAAATATGAGGTAAACTTGTACTTTAAAGAACACACTCTTGCCTTGGGAATGCCCGGTATTGTAGATGGATAAGGCTGAGAAGATCCTGAATCTTCAGCACTATCAGCCCCATCACCAGCATTCATATCCATTAATATTTTGTGACGCTCCTTGCATTCTTTAGGCTGGCGAAAAATAAACTGCACGATACAAAGTCAACAAGAGCAACACTCAATACATAAGACTACGAAAACCAACACTTCAAAAACAAAGTTTAATTTATAGAAGTGCTTGAGACTGTCTTGAAACGCACATAGATCATCCTCACAATAGACAATAAGCACACGAAGGTGCTCCAACAATTATACTAACCTTTAACTGCAGAGTACTGTTGATGGCATCACTTATAAATTCCCAATTTGGGCCCATATCATGTACAAGAACAACAAGTGCCTAAGGTAACAAAAACAGTAAATTTTGGGTAATTATTGGTACCTCTATATCAACAGAAGAAAGAAAATTTTGAGAAAGAAATCAATAACATATTAACCTGATCTTCAAACAGGGACCATGGACCTGCAGAACCTGCCTGCCCAACAGACATCTGCAAAAAGTTTAAATGCACATTGACGGTATAAGTGGACATGGTAAAATAAAAACAGCACAACACGGGGGGTCAAGTGTTAGCACACTGTCAAACAGGGTACCACCAAAGAGTACCTTTAGCGATTTAGTTTTCCGTCCCCTGTCTCGACCACCAATCAACTTAATAAATTTACTGGTATTGGACATATTACTCATTTGGGATGCTACTGGTGAAGGAACGGACCCAGCCATTGGAGTCATACTGTCATAAGTATTATCCAAAGATTGTTTTAATATCTTCGGCTTCTTGGCAATATGTTGCCCATATAAACCTATAGAAACACAGTTCAAAAAGAAAATGAGAAGAACAGCAAGTGCATTCTCAAATCAAATGCTAAAACAAATATCACACTGGAGAGAGTTACCGATCGTTCCGTTCGATTCAAAATGATGACTCTCCAATCTCTTTTTCGAATGATCCCTCTGCTAATTTAAGGGACCATCAGTTATTTGCTTGCAACTTTAGAATATAATTCATAGAATGCAAAGCAACACTTAACTGAGAGAGAATGACATTCAGACTAAAAAAATTGTAGACCAAGCTTACATAGAATAGAAAACACAATGAAAATAACTTGTAAATAAAGATTAAAAAAATTATTAAGAATAGCAGACCCACATCATATCTAACAACTTTACTAAATACCTGTTCATTAAGAATAGCAGAATCCAGCTGCCATCCTTGATCATATGTAGAACCCTGCAACCATAAAGAATACAAGCAACTTAACCAGTGATTAATGTAAAAGAACTAAAGATCCTTCCATATTATTATCCAGTTGAAATATGAATATTTTATGTACCAGATGTTTTGCCTTCTTCTTCTTTTTAGGTTTCATTGATGTTTCTGCATAGTCATAGGGCAACTGTTTCTCAAAGTCCCCAGCAGACTCAACCTCCACACTTTTCTGGAATTGAGATCCGCCATGCAAAGTACTCTGATCATCCTGAAAAGAATTAGTATCTCCACTTGAAGCATCTGTCTTCATCTGAGCCTGAACATTACTCCCAGTAGCTCCACCACCAAATGGACCAACGACCCTCTGCCTGGAAGCAGTGCGCATGCGTTTTGTTGGAATTGAACCAACGTTGAGACTAGCAGGCCTTTTCCCCATCGACACGGGCTGTTGAGTTGCAGATGTGCATTGCGCAAAAGCCAAATCAGCACCTGCTTCATACGACCTAGAAGCATATATCTTCAACTTCTGTCGCTTCTTCTGGTTAGATTTTGAGGACTTGCTACCTTCAAATGCTCCAGGCAAATAATAGGTGCTCGTTTCTCCTTCATCCTCATCATATGCAGCCTCTTGAAAACTAAACTCTGAGATTTAAAATGTAGATTTAATGAGCACAGGATTCGCTAAGAAAATAAAAACAAACATAAACTCAAGTTACTGATACTTATATCAAAATAGTCTAAGCTTGTACCTGCTCCAGCATCATACATAGATGTATCAACCTCCTCTTGCATGCTACTGCCACTTCTCTGAAATTTTTAGGTCACTAAATCAGCAATGATAACCAAAAAAAGAAAAGAATTCAAACAATTACCAAATCAATAATGTAAGCAACTTTCCACCAAAAACACAAATCAATAATGATAACACCATACATCATACCAAATATAAACATGAGTTTCATTCCTATAATAACTGAAACAGTTGGGTGTACTGTTATAGACAGGTGACAACTTATTCACACTGAACATTTTATTCCCCATCATTCTCCTTTTAAATGTAATAATTCCTTTGTGAAACCAGAAACAGGAAGCACCTATGTCAGTTACACTGATGGGCATTGCATTTACCTCAAACTGAACCAAATGAGATTCAATTGATTTTCTGTAGGTTTCCATCGCGCCAGAGGGAACTGCATAGAAGAGATTTTCCTGCCAAAGCATAAACTCATTTTTAACAAATGACCCACACAAATCCATAACTAATAAATAAAAGGACTTTAGTTTGCCCTAGAGAGAGAGAGAAGGAAAAGTAGATGGAGAGATGCGTGACAATGTCAAGATTGATAGCTTCACTCAACAAAAAAGACCATAAAGAACTTAATCACACCTCTGTAAGGTGATCCTCCCATGACATTTCTGTAATCCCTAAATCAGACATTCTCTCAGGAGTAGCAGGTGCATGTGCTTGAAGAACAGGAACCCGAGAGTTGTTATACTTCAAAAATCTCACTGCGTATCCCTGCATAGATAGTGCAAGATCTTTTCGGGAATATTGCGGCTCCAAATATTTGTTTGGCTCCTGCCAATGACCATTATTTAGATCAACAACATATGGCACATGCAGGTAAGACAAAAAATTTCAAAACTTCTGGTCTATAAGTACAATATCAGTGACATACAGATTAGAGTCATGAACAACATTTTCAACATTTTCAAAATTTGGAGGACCCATTCCCACCTCAGACAGATGAAGCAATGTTACATTACTCAACTTCAAACATCCATGTGAGTATTTTTTTCTCCAAGAGGATACCAAAGCATCTTGCAACCTCTTTTGGAACTATAAACCCAGTATAACTCCAATCATTATTAAGGGCACTTGGCATATTGAAAAAAGAGAATTAGTCATCAAGAGCTTTAATACACTTCTGTACTTTGATCTACCCCTATCCACAGAAAAACTAGGAACAATAAAGGTTCAGCAAGTTCAAAATAACTTCGACCATGGGGGAGAAAATAACCTGATCCATGCTTAAGGTGACAGATTATTCTTTTAATGGCATAAACTTACTCTCTCTGCTCACATTTTATTGCCCTCTCTGTGGTTATAGCTGATTAGTTTATAACTAAGTAAACATCTAAGAGTTCAACGAGAAAAGTAACTAACAAAGCTGTCTATCAACGAGAAAAGTTCATTAGATTAGTAGACATGGACCCATAAACACTTATCGTATGCTAAAGATAAGGGGAAACAAACCATTTAAATAGCATAGGATTTCTAGGCACTAAATTGACCAGAAGTAAAGACCATTAAAAAAATAGGTCCAGATAAATGACCAGCACCATATTAGATTCGCCATCCTTGGCTTTAGAAGCTTCGTTGCTATCAATACTCATTGACCCAACCAAATCGGAGTTGCAGTTTTTTTTACAAGAACTTGAATCGTCACCATTCAAAAGGGTCTCAGCTGAATGCCAAAATTGCTTGACAGCCCTTGCCAAGTCATGAGCCACTTTCTTTAGCACCCAATGTTGATGCTGCTTTTCCATTCTCAACCCAGAAGTAGAAGCAACACGATGACATATTTGAGAAGCAGCAGTTAGCTTCCAAAGACGCTCCTATAAACGCATAATAATTGAACAAAAATGTTTAGGGAACTTTAAAAATATTGATATAGTTAATACTAGTTAGCTTCAACTATATGGGCATAATCATAATATCATGCCTGTGCAAAATCATTTGCCAACCACGCCATTTCCTCGAGGACAAAATCCCACTGAGACTTTCGGCGATTCTCCGAGGGTAAAGAATGAACAGCTAATTCAGCAATCCTCTTACGCTTAGCCTGGTTATTACATTTGATGGAGTAAGTAAGATGCTCCTTCAAAGTTTGTAAAATTAGACATCATAAATCGCAGGGGAAGAGAGAAATAACCTCTATAATCCGAGCCTCTTCCAGTATAGAATCTTCATGTGCCTTGTCTATCACTTTCAAGTGAACTCCTGGAGTTTGACAGTCAGAACCTGCAGCTGTATCTCTCCCTGACAAAACAGTCTCAGGGACCTCACACATAGATAAGTCCTGAGGACCCTGAGATATGCTAGTGCAAGAGTTCTCTTTGTTGATTTTGGAACTATTATCCAACACATCATCCACTTTCTTATCAGTTCCTGATATTGTATGGTCACTCGGTTGTTCCCCCTCAATGTTTGAATGAAGCTTAGCTTCATTATGCAACTCAGGTCTACTTTCACTCATATCCTCCTCATCTTTGACTTCACCATTGCCAGAGTGGTTTTGACAAACAGAAGCCTGGTGATCATTAACAATACAACCACTGTCAACAGCTTTGGTTTCATTACCTTCTTGTACCATTTCACCACCAGCCAGATTTTGTGCCCCATCAACATCTGATGATTCGATAATATTTCCATTATCAGTGTTCCTTGTAGTAGTACATATGTCACTATCATTATTTACATCTAATCCTACACTAGTTTGGGTGCAAGAAGACTCTGAATCTAAACCCTTTGTGCCTAAGGCTGCACTGCTAACGTGAACTTCATTTGGTACAATTTTACTCTCTCTATTTGAATTGCTAAACCCATTCACCTGCGCAGAACTGATTTCATTTTCAGTCTTTGTTGTAGCTGCACAAGAAGGACCTTCAAGAACAGATGATACTAGTGGTTCCCTTTCTTCAACAACATCTGGTCTCCCACAAACGTCAATGGGCACTTCCTGAGAATCAACCTGACATGGTTGACTGTGTTCGCTCTCTCTCAAACTTTTAGGAGTTGTAACATCCAATTTGCTTTCAGAACTATCTTTCGTTGGACCAGTAACTATTTCAAGGGCCTGCACCCCCTCCAATTCCATATCGAACTGATTATCACAAGTTACAATCTTGGGAGCAATATCACCATTTGAACTCACAGACTTTAGGCTAGCGACAGGAGGTTGGTCCTTTTGGTTGTTTGTTTCAGATATCAGCCTCTTAGGATCCTTTGACACCCCACGAGCAGGTAAAGAAGATCCCTGACCACCACGACCCTGTATATCCATTGAATTTGATCGAGTACCATCACGATTTGGTCTGGACCTGTTCCTTCGAGCATAAGGACGGAATATAGCAGAGTCTTCAGATTCCTTGGCATTTTGAGTCCCATCCATCTGGGACGACTGTTCCGATGGACCAATGTTGTTCCTTCTACTAAGATGCATAGAATTCCTTTCCCCATCAGGCACATCATTGTCACCATCAAATAGTAAGAGATTATCAGCACTATTGGGTTCACAAAGTGTAGGAACCTCTGGTCGACCACTACTTTCAACAGAGTCCCCACGCGGTGATGCAGTCAATGCAAAACTACCTTTTGCTTCACTGAGATCACGCCATGATATAAGAAAAAGAAAAAATGAAGAGATTTGAGCCGGTTAATTCAAAAACCATGTAATTATATAAAAATAAAGACTACCTGGTCACAAACTGTTCTGGATGCTGATCAGTGAGTGAAGTAGACTGGACACTAACAGAAGCTCCATTTCCAAGTTTGAAGTCCAAAGGATTGCCACCCTGAAAGTAAGAGCGTTGCGATAATCACTACATAAAGCAGTCAAAAAATAAATAGCCACCACGAGATCAAATTTCCATACTTTCTCGAGAAACTCTAGCTCCCTTCTTCTTTCCTCCCGCACATCATACTCCTGTCTGTTATCAGCAAATAACAGTTAATTATATACCTCATGTAGACAGGGAAAACATCCAAAAGTAGAAGTTGGAAGGGATGAGGGGTAAACACAAATGAGAAATCATACCTAAGTTCTGCTTGAGCCTTCTCGATTGCTGCTCGGCGCGGAGAGGTTTTCAAACCAATACCAATTCCGCCGTCAACCACTCCACCCATGGAATCAACCTCTGCATTTACTAGGAGAGCAGATCCTGAGCTACATCCATGCATTCCGACCTTAATGCCCGCAAATCTTTAATCTCCCATCTAATCCAAAGTCTATAAAACTCACTGAAAGAACAGGTATCAAAAAGTCATATAAGAATAGAGAATTGAAAGTACTTTTTTAACTTAAAAGAAGGATAATAACCTTACACACAAGTAATAAGTTAAAAAATATATCAGTTCACTAAATTTTAAATGCTGTATCTAAAGAAAATGAGGAGAATATGTCCCCATTTCACTGAATCAAATAGCATGAATGCCAGTTAACTAGTTACACAAATGATAAGTCCCTCAAGAAACAGTGTTCTTAAACATACCAAAAATGTCAACACAAGCAGCAAAATGATACATTTGGACATAAGATGTGAACATAATATATTAGAATCGGCAGAAGAAAAAAAAAATTATATATATACTATATCAGATGACAAATGACATCGGCTATTTTAGAAATAAACAATCCCCATTCGCTCAACCATCCAACACAAGCACACACTGATGTTCACATGCCTGACTTAAGAGTTGGACCTAATCATATTAAAAATAAATGGAAATTACCCAATTATTTTAGGCAAAGCTTAATTGTCACTTCACTACTACGATTTGTACTACAACGGTTTTCTCTTATAGAGCAAAACAAAAGCATTTGACCAATCTCAAATTATGATGTTCTTCTAAACAAATGCAGAAACAGGTATAGCATGATGTGCATTAGCACCATGCTCGATAACACAATTCACACAGACAGGCACAAAGATAGGTACATTATTGAACACCTATAGAGCCCAAATGACAAACTTACAATTTACTAAGATAACCCGCTAAAGTACATATGAAATATGCACAACATAACACAGTTGCATTCTTTTATCAAATCTATCCATAGTTCCGTTCCTCCCAGATATCAACAGGTTGAAGGAGGAAAGAAAAATTATAAGTATTTAAAGAAGAATTTGAAAATAGGAAAATGCACTCGCTGTACCTGTCCAATTTTAAAATAGGAAATGTAAACTAATATAGCAATCACATAGAAATAAATAAAAGGTGTCAATTCAGCACGATCATAAACTCATTATTCCCCCATCTTTCAGAAAACTATTTTCCACAAAAATTTCATCAATGATTTGTAGTTCACTATTCAAAATTATGGGGCTGCACAGTTTTCAATCTTTAAGAAGTCTGTGAGACGCTAAAAAACGAAAGGGAATTTAAAGGCAATAAATATAAGTAGCTACATTACTGAACTATTGTGAACCTCAGAATACAAATACACACTGCATTAGTGGCATATCTTCCGGTCGAAACCAAGCACTAATTGAAAAATGAAACCTAGTTCACGTAGCTAAGAACAGAAAAGGAAAAATGTGGTAAGCGATGACCAAAATATGGTAAGTCATTACTCGAAGGTACTGTAATATATATGATTTGGCACTAATAATGCTATGACTAATAGCAACAATTGCATGCAAGAGGCTTGCCCAATGATCTCCTTCGAATTCTCACATGGGCACCCTCACACATATCCACTACAGTTTCAAAACCACTAACATACTACTCAAAGAAACAACATAATCAATCCCCCGTGTGGAACGTCAAATTCTGGCTCCTAATCCCATGCCAATACCATAAGGGCATAGAGAGCAAAACTTACCTTATAAACCGCGAGCATTCAATCACAATGCATTACACAATCACACACGAAAGACAACTCCACACAAATTGCCCAACGAACGAAACCCTAATTCCATTCAACCCTAACTGAATGCCTAATTTCAAAATTCTAGGGTTTCCATGGGCAAAAACCTAATACCAACAGAGCAACAAAAATACCTGAAATTGGGGACAGGGTAGCAAAATTGAGAGCTAGGGCACGACAGTGAGGACTTCAATTTCGCCTAATTTCTCTCTCCTAGGGTTTTGAACAGCGCACACGCTCAGAATTGAAACAAGGCCGAGTTTGCCCTAGAACACAACACCTCGCTCCAAATGTCAGCCATGAAATGGTTGCTTAGACTCGCTATGAAACTCTCTCTCTCTCTCTGTCTGATTTCTGTGTACTGGTATTTGGATTTTCCTCTATTAGGTTTCGGTTTGATGTTTCGTTGTTGGGGGTGTGTTGGGGACTATGCGACCTCTGCGAATAGTGGGCTGTGCGCATGGGGAAGAAGACGAACAAAGAAGAGGGCTTAGAGAAATTGGACGTCCATTTTGGGCTTTTTATTATTACGTGCTTTTAATTTTCTCGAGTCTTATTACTTATTTTTGTCTAAGCTTTTTGCTTCGATTGGGGTTCGATGAGGAAGAAGAGACAGGCCGTGGGGAGATATCAAAACATTTTTACTTGCCAAAATTAAGAACATTAAATCTTTTTCATTTTTTTACCACCCAAAAAATACCTGACCCTTTTGATTTCATTTTTTTTTTCATCTCTTGTTATTAGATCCATTTTGATCTCCTATATATGTTGAATACAATGACTAGTTACTTCCTATGTCTTTGTAACTTTGTTCAAAACTAGTCCCTTAGTTACGTGTGTCAATTGTTTTTTTTCAATATTTTATTTTTTTTTTTAATTAAAAAAGATAATGAGTAATTGTGTTCCATAAAAATAGAATTTATTATCTGATTTTTTTTTATAAGAAAAAATGTGAATTTACCATTTATTCTCATTTAATTAATAATTTTAATTCTTAATATTCTGATTAATCATAGACATGTTCTGGTATTTTGAACGTTTCACCATTTTTCTACATTTTACTTTATATATATATATATATACATTTAAAAAAAATAGTTAGATAGATAAATTGAATTTTCGTTGACTATCTTGTTTTTATTTTTATTCATAAGTAACTTGGAATCACTTTGAATCTTGCTTTGCCTTTTTTTAAATTATTTTTTTAGATTCTTGGTGTGTTATATTGTATTTGCCTCTCTACACGCTCGCACGGACTAATAACTTTTAGTATTTTATCCTTTTATAGACATTTTTGTTGGACATAGGGTCTTATTTTCTTTTTGTCCTTAAATATTTACATCCTAATTGACTATTTATTTTACATAAATAACCTATAATCACTTTGAATCTCATTTATTATCAATAGAAGTAGAAAATCGTTTTGCCACGTTATTTGATTATTTTATGTTATTTTTATACATACATTTTTGTTGCACACCGACTCTTATCTTCTCTTTCTTTTTAGTTATTTACATTTTAATAATACTTATTGTTTTACATAATACTTATGGCATGCATATATATGCTAAAATTAGAACTCAATAAATCTGTCCCAAATTAGCATAACATAGCAGCTCAGTTATTATAACTTTCCTCTAATGTAGTTGTAATTAACGAACAAACTTATCTTAATTAATTATGGTGTTTAAACTTATCGTACTTAATTAATAAAATATGCAAGAGGCAAACGTAGATTAAGCCAGTTGGTTAGGACGTGAATAATTTATATTATGTCTTTTTTTTTTCTTTTTTTTTTAAATATGCAAAAGGTTAATAGATCCAGTAGGTTCACAACACCACTCTTGCACTTGAATCTCTCATCCCCAATGTTGTTGGTACTCGTAAAATGCAAGAGGTTTATGGTTAAAATATATTAATGCTTGTCTTCTCTCTTATCTACTTCACCTCGTATATTACAAAACAAGTCGTTGTGCCTTGAATGGATCACATCAAAGATTATGATTTTTATGTCAACATCCTCAGCTATCTCGTGAATGATCTTTCAAAATGTAGAGATGCCCAAATTACACCATAGCTGACAGTTGTTACTTGTACCAATACATTCCTTAAACCCCTAAGAGACTGTTTTGGTGTGCAGAATGAATTTCTTAAGAACGAACCTGTCATGTATAATCTCACAAAATGAAAATGGGAGATCTTCACTTTCATTTCATGTATGGAAACATTGGGGAATGTGGTCCATGAAATGTCATTGTCTCATGTATAGTCTCACAAAATGGAAATGGGAGATGTTCATTTCCATATTTGGAAACATTGGGGAATATGGTCCATGAAATTCTCCCTTGAGAAGTTCATACCCGCGAGTCACGTATTGCATTTCCAAAAATACACTTACCAAACATGGAAATGATAATTTCCATATAATTAGAATCTAAACCACATTTCTCAACGCTTACTAATGCCAAGTTATCGGCCCCACCATCATTAGAATTTGATTTGCTCAATAGGAGTGACACCACTTGACAATATTTTATCAGCCATTATGCCTCTTGTTTGTAATTGGTGCAACTTTGTTGTTTCAAAATTTTGTCTGGGCTTAAAGGAAGTGCTACAGTATCAAACGTTTGGCGCCTAAACCTTTCTTAGCATAAAAGAGAAGTTTAGCTTATCTTTATTCCCATACCATCTACAATTTCTAAACTTAATCAAAGATTTGCACGAGCTCCCAAAAATCAAGAAGCTATATTACAATTTACAGTCTCATTCTTGTTATGTTTCTCTCTAGCTTTGAAACTTTCTTATTGCATGATCTTAATTGCAATTTGTGCTAGTTTTTCTGTATCATAATGTAGTTTTCAATTTCACCATGAAAGTTCTGCAAACGTTTTCTTCAATTTCACCAGCCACTGCAATATTTCCTGCTTACGAGTATGACTATAGCCGATAACTGCAACCATTTCACAAAGTTTATGACTGTTTTGCTGCCAATAACATCATGTTGTTCTGAAGAAAGTAGGCTTTTCTAAACATACTATGATAGGGTTTTATTAACAGTTCTTCACAACTTAATAATTATGTTATTCATTCAAGTTTGTCGACAGAATATTGAACTACGAATGATTGAAAGGCTGCAGCATCTACAACGCAAGGAAGGCAAAGTCATACGTTTCACACCCTTTCTATTTTGATACATGTGAGCTTGCAGCTAACATTTGTTGTGCATTGACTGCTTTCTCCCACCACATGATCAACAAGAAAGTCTTGTCAGCATTGGGAAGCTCCATCAACACGATGGAACAGCTATTTATATTAGCAAAACAAATGTATCAGTTACAAAGATTACATCGTATCTCTATATAAGTGGGAGCCAAAATTATACATTTGAAATACAAACAAAAACCATATCAGATTACAACTGAAGAAGTCCACACAGACTCCTTCTCCACACCCGTTACAGAGTTCGAATTTGAGCAAGCAGATAAGCTTTGTCTAACAAATATTTCATGACTTTGTGTGAACTAGTAGCAGGGAATTTCGAAGCATTCTTCTCCAATAAACCATTGCTTTCGCGGGTTGTGGATAATTAAATGGATTTCTATTTGCAGGTTAGTGTCTCCATATATTTTTTCATAATCTTGCATGCCATTTTGGTTTATTTCCCATGGGAATGGTTCATACAGAAACCACTCGCAGTGGAGCTTCAGCAAATTCTGTTCTTATTTTTCTTCTGGTAAGGTTCGTGCACTTTTATGAATCAACGCAGGGGACCAAAGAAAAGATTGATGCGATGAATGATGCAATGAGAGAAGACAAGGATGAAGAACCGAGGCGTTATCGTTACTGGTATATAATTGAGAGTTTTATGATTTGCATCATTGCATGTAGCAGATGGTGTGGATTTGCTTGCCAAATATAATGTTTGCCGAATTTTAACTTAAGATAAGAGGATACTTTTTTTTAAATATAAAATGCTTTTTGTCCAGCTTCCTTGAGCATTTTGAATTTAAGTTCTATTACGGGTGGGCGCAATGCAGTGATGTTTCTCCTTGGAACCGGAATTGGAAATTTTTTTCGAGTGCGGTTTGGTTTGATTTGGTTTGCCAAAATAGCTAGAGAAACCAGTGTGGTGTCACCAGTTTTTGGTTTTGAACCAGTTTAATTTTTAATATAGGTTATTCAAAAAAAACACACATAAAAGAGAAAAAGAAAGAGAGAAGTCGGAGAGGGAGGAGAGGAGAGGAGAGGAAGAGGAGAGAAAATGAGAAATATAAAGAAAAAAAAGAAAGGTGTATGGATTCTACCCCACAAAAAAAAGGTATATGGGCTCTGAAGTGGGGTTTAGGGGAGTTGGGTTGTATGAGATATTTTTTTTAAAAAAAATAATAATAATATATGTAAATATGCACGACTGGTTTGGTTTGGTGTGGACTGGTTTTTTAAGATGCAAAACTGAAATCAAAAGCGGGTTAAACCAGTCCTGTTTGAAATTTTTTTTTAGTCCTGTTTGAATTTTTTTTTTTACTTTTGTTAATTTTTTTAGTCAACCCAATTTTGACCGGTTTTTCCAATAATATTCGACTCTATTTTTCGGTTTCGATGCCCACCTCTAAGTTATATGCTCTCGTTGCATGTCTCCATTTTCTTTCTATCTTTTCCTCATGCAAGTCACATGGGGAGAGAGATAGGAGGATATAATGGGGACTTGCGAGGTGCAAAAGTATTTGTAGGATTTTCTCATACTTTTGTTACGAAATACAATCAGTTTGACGATCACAATTATTTTGCAGCATTGGAAATGAATATTTTGTGACATTTCAATGGTTTTCTCACTTGAAAATTAAAATTAAATCATATATAAAGATAGTTGAAAAGATGTATCATGTCTATATTACACAGTTCATTACTTTTCTAAATCTACATTCTGATACTATTTTCAATATTGAGTGAAAATATTGGAGGAAATTAAATTGATGAATTTTGAGGAAGATTTTCTTCCATTGTTGTTTTCAGCCAATATGCCTCTTGTTTGTAATGGGTGCATCTATGTTGCTTGTTTCAAAATTCTATATGGCCTTAAAGGCATTGCTACAGTATCAAAATTCTAGTTAGTTAGTTAGTTCAATTACAATCTCTCATTTGCACACAGCTCCCCAAAAAAAATGAAGAAGCTACATTTTCAAGCTACCAACTCAAGCCAACAAGAAGATGCATTTTCTTTTCTTGATTATAAACATACAATATGTGGTATTATCAAGACAATAAATATGTGCTAAAATTTATACTTATGATTTAATACTAAATAACTTTAAAAAATCAGTATATGACAACATTGCTGGTCTTCAGCAATGCATGACCTGCAAAAAGACCTCATCGAAAGTCAGGCTTTTCTCTGTGCAACCAAGTCATCTGACTTCCTTCTGTTGATTCCATAAGTTCACGGAGTTCCTTCACATGGCCAATCATCTTGTTGGCTGAATAAGCTTTAATCATAGTTCTATAAGTAACCTTGTCAGGCCTACATCCTTTTTGCTCCATTATCTCAAGCACCCCCTTCATTTCTGCGAAGCATCCCATCCTCCCATAAGCATCAACCAGACAATTGAAAAACACAATATCAAGCATCACGTCTGAATTCTCCACAAATCGTAAAACACCATCAATTTTTTCAGGCAAACCTGCTAGCCCATATGCCCTTACGAGTGAGCAAAGTGTGACACAGCTTGGCTTCATCCTCTCTGACCGCATTAGCCTAAACAGATACTCCATTTGTTTTAAATCCCCGGCCCTCCCAAATGCATCTATCACCACATTGTATGTCACGATCGTCCATGAGTAATGGTATTTCTGCATGTATTCCATCACAGCACTCATTTTCTCATAATTCCCAGCTTTTCCATAGGAATCTAGAAGAATGTTGAAAGTCATGATGTTGGCTTGGATACCCGCACTCTGAAACTTCTCAAAACACTTTTCCATTGTTTCTATTTGCCCGCTGTTGCCAAAGGCTCTCAGTATGGAATTCATGGTCCAAACATCAGGCTCACAATCCTGTTCGCCAAGCATTTCCACAAGTGTCGATTCCATCTCTGCAAATCTTTTTGGAAAAAAGACATTGAGAATGAATAATTTCTTCAAAATTGAACAACAAGTTATGCTGACCATATGATTGACACAAATATCATAGGAACTCTTTTTTTTTTTTTATAAGAAGAATGTAAAAGAAACTTATGAGGTAAAAATGGAAGATCTACTCTTTTATTTCATTAACCAGAAACAAAATTATTATAATGTGGGAAATGATAAGGGTGAAAGGCAGTTACATAGCAGGAGTAATGAAAGTGAAGTTTGAAGTTAATGGTAATGGTTGTGTTCACAACTCCCATGTTTCTATCATTGCCCAACCCTTTAAAAGGCATATGATCTAAACAATTGTATGTTCAAAATTCTCTATAACCCTGATTTTACTGGTGATCAAATGCTGCACAAATATAACATTTGATGCAACCTTACATTATGATATTCACAAGAAATTGATGGAGCATTCAAAATGTTGAAAGGGAAGGATATGAGGGAATACTTTTTAGATTTCCCATAGGCATCGATGAGGGTATTATATGTAATGGTGTTGGGTCTTATCCCCTGACTCTCCATATCCGAAAGCAGAGCCTGCACTTTGTCGTATGCAAAAACCTGCAGGCATGATTTTATGAGGATTGAATAAGTATGGACGTCAGGCTGGCAGTCAGGAGTATTCTTCATCTGCTCAAGGAGGGAAAATGCTTTGTCAAAGAGGCCGCTCCTACCATAGGCAGATACAAGAGCAGTGTAAGATTCATGGTTGACAGCACAGCCTTCGTCAATCATAGCTTGAAACAGCTCGTGGGCTTTTTCTGGTTGCTTACATTTTCCAAGCATGACGATTAGCTTAACATATAAAGCAGCATTGGGCCGGTACCACTGCTGCTCATGTAGTAGTTCAAAAACCTGAAAACATAAAAGATAAGATGGCCATGAGAGGAGACACTCACAATGTATTAGGCTTATGAACAATCACAATGTTAAATTGAAAAAGAAAATGCTAAATAAATAATTATAAAGGTTGCATCAGAATAAGCTTCTGGGATTTATTTGTTCATTCATCTACCTCTATGACTATATCATTAGTGACAACAATCAAAATAATCTTCTGGAACTAACATCAATCTGATGATCCGAGGTTTCTGATAAGCTAAAAATCGAGCCTTTTCTATGCTTTCCTACATTTTCTCAGCAACCAAACAAAATTCGAGCTGAAGCAAACAGAGTCCAAAGTTGAATAAATAAAATGGCTAACCAGCAACTAAATTGCTTGAACAAAACACCAAAACCCAGTATTTAAAACCTTGGCCTCCCTCTCTTTCTGCATTTCTAAGCAACCAAACGGAGAACAAGTGCAAACCCAGATAGAAATTTCAAAATCCCAATTCGCCCAATTCGAACTAAAAAAACCCGAAAAAGGACTGACCTTGAGAGCGGACTCCCAACGCAAAGCAGTGATTCTCTCATGGATGGCTTCGAGCACGGTCCTAGGAAGCAGCCTCTTGGAACCTTTCTTCTTCTCGATCAGATCTTTGGTAGCTTCTCTTCGCAGTATGACCGAGATTGCTTTCCGGGAAGCTATTTTCTTGTTGGTCTCCTCTTTTCTCTCCTTGGCCTCCTTATCTTTCAGCTTCTGAATGTCTAGTATTTTGCTTCGGCTTCTCTGTGTCAGTGTTAGTGAGTGTGTTTTGTTTGAGTTGCTATTAGTAGAAGAAGAAGGAGGAGGAGGAGGTTGGGGACTGAGTGTGGTTTGGGACCGTACAGTTACCGGTTTGGTAACCGGTGGCCGCTTAAACGGTGGGGTTGGGCTCGAAAGTGAGGCCATGAATTTGTGTCTCTGTGAGTCGGATTGGGAGAGAGAGAGAGAGAGAGAGAGAGGGCGCGCTATAATATCGTTGAGAAGGGGAAAACGGCACCCAACGAGGCGCCGTTTTTGGGGCAAGCGATAGCGGACGAGATGAGACCGTTGGTGTGAACAAACGACGATATTTTGTAGGGGTGGTTGCGGTTTGGTAACCGCGAATTTTTACTCAAACCGCAAACCGACCGGCTATTTGCGGTTTGGTGATTTTTGAAACCGCAAAACGCGGTCGGTTATCGCGAATTAGCAGTTTAAAACCGCGAGTTCTCAAGCATTCACAAAAATATAAATTCACAACTTAAATAAATAAATACACAACCTCAATTTCTCAAACATATATAAATTCACAATCTCATCAACTTCTCAAGCATTCACAACCTAAGAAAATTAAAGTTACAATTCCAAGCATTCCAATTAAAGTTAAACTTCTCAAGCATTCCAATTCCAAATCCTTTAAAGTTATAAACCAAAAGGAAAATGCAAAGCAAAATGAATTAAAGTTACAACAAAAAAGAAAA